TTTTTTTTTTTTTTTTTTTGTCGTGCAAGGTCGGAGAAGGAAGAGGAGAGGGGGAGAGGTCGAGATGGGGGACGAGAACGGAGAAGGGAAAGGTCGGGAAGGAGAGGTCGGGATGAGGTCGGGATGGGAAGGGAGTTGGGATAGAGGAGGAGGGAGAAGGAATCTAGGCGTGGAAGAAGGTGCGGATGGGAGTTGGGATAGAGGAGGAGGGAGAAGGAATCTAGGCATAGGGCAAGGTCAGGGGAGGAAGGGGTGAGGGGGAGAGGTCGGGACGGGGAGGTCGTGATGGGAGGTCGGGACGGGGAGGTGAGGAAGAGGTCGGGATCAAGTCGGGAGGTCGGGATGGGAGACGGGTTGGGACGATGTCCGGGGAAGGAAGTCGGGGAAGGAAAGGGAAAAGGAAAAGGTCAGGATGAGGTCGGGATGGGATGGGAGTCGGGATAGCGAAGGAGGGAGGAGGAATCTAGGCATGGGAGATGACTCGCGACGATGTCGGGATCGGGGGAGCAAGGGGAGAGAGGGAGAGGTCGGGACGGGGAGGTCGGGATGGGAGGTCGGGACGGAGAGATCGGGATGGGAGATGCGAACAGAGGAGGGAGAGGTCGGGATGAGGGAGGGAGAGTTGGGACGATGTCGGGGGAAGGAAGGAGAGGGGGAGAGAGGTCGAGACAGGAAGGAAGGGAAGGTGGGTGGGGGGGGAGAGGTCGGCATGAGGTCGGGATGGGACGGGAGTCGGGATAGAGGAGGAGGGAGGAGGAGTCTAAGCATGGGATGGGAGGTCAGGACGGGGAGGTGAGGGAGATGTCGGGATTAAGTCGGGAGGTAGGGACCGGGAGGTCGGGATGGGAGACGCGAACAGAGGAGGGAGAGGTCGGGATCAGGGAGGGAGAGAGGTCGGGATGAGGTCGGGATGAGGTCGGGATGGGATGGGGATAGGGAAGGGGGACGACGAGCTCGGAGAAGGAAAGGGGGGAGGGAGAGTTCGGACGACGTCGGGGGAAGGAAGGAGAGGGAGGGAAAGTCCGGATCAGGTCGGGAGGTTGGGATGGGAGACGGGTTGGGACGGGGAAGGAAACGGAGGAGGAAGAGATCGCGATGAAGTGATGGGGATGGGAGTTGGGATAGAGGAGGAGGAAGGAGGAATCTAGGCACGGGGCAGGGTCGGGGGAGCAAGGGAAGAGAGGGAGAGGTCGGGACGGGGAGGTCGGGACGGGGAGGTCGGGATAGGAGGTCGGGACCGGGAGGTCGCGATCGAAGATGCGAACAGAGGAGGGGGAGGTCGGGATCAAGGAGGGAGAGTGGGGGGAGAGAGGTCGATACGGGAAGGAAGGGAAGGTGGAGGCGGGATAGGGATAACGTCGCATTGGGATGATATAGGGGGAAGGAAAAAGAGGGAGGAGAGCTCGGGACAGCAAGGAAGGCGTCGAGACGGGAAGGAAGGGAAGGTGGGGGGGGGGGGG